AATTCCTCCTATCAGTGAGATCACATGATACGTGTCTTTCTCTGATTGACTTATTTCGCTTAGCATAATACCCTCTAGTTCCATCTACATCGTTGCAAATGGCAAGATTTTTTTTTTTGATAGCTGCATAATATTCCATTGTATATATATACCACATCTTCTTTATCCATTCATCTGTTGATGGACATCTTGGTTCTTTCCATGGTTTGGCTATTGTGGATATTGCTGCTATAAACATTGGGGTTCATGTACCCCTTTGGATCACTAAATTTGTATCTTTGGGGTAAATACCCAGTGGTGCAATTGCTGGGTCATATAGCGTCCTGTTGTAAATCGAGGGATATTTAGTTTCATTTTCCCCTCTTCATTTAAACTAGTAAAATTTATAGTGTTATTTCCTTTTATTGTGAGATAAAAGAATACACCAGTATTAGGTTATCTTATGTGGCATTTGGAGAATTAACTGGGTACTTTCTCATAAATGGCAAAGTTCTGCAGGTAAACTCATTTTCTTGTTACCACAAGTTGTAAGTGTAGAAGCTCCCTTATTTAATGGGTTTTCTTCCTACATTCAGATCTCTTAAATAATGCAGTGTTGTTGTTGAGAAGGAGGGCTCTGGGGTCAGTGCCTGGGTTCAGGTCCCTGCTTGGCCACAGTCCAGCTGTGGGACCTGCACAGTGGGTATAACCTCTCCAGTTTCTCATGTGTAAAATGGGGTTAATAACCACACCTACCTTCTGGGGCTGCTGTGGGGACTGAATGAGCCATTGAAGAACTTAGAAGAGTTTCTCACAGAGTAAGCAATGATAAATGCTTGGTATTGTTATTATTGTGATATCCTGTTTACAAAAACCTCTCCTTTTACCCTGAGTTATGCTAATACAACGAGGCATACTTTGGATACCAGAATTCCCTTTTGTATTACATGGTTGGCTGTTTCATCTCCCTCCCTCCTTCCCTCCCTCCCTCCCTTCCCCTTCTCCCTACTTTCCTAGATCCTCAGGACTGTGTCAGGGATTCATTTTGCTTCTCTCTCGTAGGTTGCACCCTGCTGTTCTATGAGACCTATGGGAAGAATTCCATGGATCAGAGCAGTGCCCCTCGGTGCGCACTGTTTGCACAAGACAGCATAGTGCAGTCTGTCCCAGAACATCCCAAGAAGGAAAACGTGTTCTGCCTCAGCAACTCCTTTGGAGATGTCTACCTTTTCCAGGTACTGCCGAGCTTTCTAGACAGAGGGTCAAGGCAGTACGAGGGACTCCAATCCCAAGGACGGAGTGTACTAGGAGGACAAGAAGGAACAGAATGAAGAGGCAGAGCTTAGCAATGAAATAGGGTAAAAGCTTAGGTAGGCTTTGGTTGAGGCTTAAGCAAGAGAATTGGCCTCTGCTCACTGTCAGGTGCCATGGGGCCTGTGTTCATCCAGTCATTCATACAGCAAGCATTTCTTGGGACGCCCTTCAAGTGCCAAGCTGTGGCCCATGGGATGGTCTTGAGGATATGAAGAGAGAAAAATCGTGATCCTCGTTCTGGTGTAGCTCATGATCTAGTGGTGCAAGGTCTGAAATTCCCGGAGTGGAGGCTTTCAAGTGAAGCCTACAGAATATGACTAGGAGAGCTTTAGATTTTTCCCAGGAATCCCAGTGGGAGTGAAAAAAAGAAGCTTTTCAGGAAAGCCTTATGGACAAATGCTGTAAGGTCTCGTTTTCCAGTGGAAGTGGCCTGAGGATGTTAAATTTCAAGTTATCTGCTGTTACGATTTTCAGCAGTTTTCTAGCAAATGCATCGTTGAAGAGCATGGTGGGATGCCAAGGTGTTGTTGTCAGCCTTGGGTGTGACATCCTGGTGCTGTCATTGGGCGTGTACGCCATCTTGGAGGACTTAACTGCTCTGAGCGTTGGATCCTTCGGCCAGTAGGATAACAGCAGCTTATAGGATCGCTTGAAGGATTAATAATGTGCATGTGTTAAGTGTTAAAGAAGTTCTAACTATTTCTGTAGTTAAGTGCTATTTCTGTGTGTTAAGTGCTAAAGGAATTCTAACTGTTTCTAACTATAACTATTGGTGCTGTTATTGATTAACTCAAAAGAGGTGGAAGTGAGGGAAGTGAAGTATGTTTCTGAAGTGCTTCCCAGTCTCAGTCCAGTGCTGCGTATAGACCCAGTTTGGGCTGCAGATTATATCTGACCAAAAAGGGTCATGGAAGCCCTCATAGGTCCTTGGTTCAGGTGTCTCGATGACATTGGTCCTGGATACTCCTGGTCTCAGGAGCCCTGTAGAACAACTTGGTGTTCTCTCTGCAGACTTTGGGAATCTAGAATTCTCTGCATAGGGTTTCCTGTTGCTAGTACCAGGTAAACTGGCTGGGCCTCTAGCCTCATTGTTGTCCCCAACTTGACTTACAAGATTCAGGGCCTGAGATTTGATTTTCCTTCTCTTCACAGAAAGGTTGATTAGACTTTCTATGATGCTTTAAAGCCAAGTAATGAATTGCTGTTAATCTGAATTGTAGGGAAGGTAAGAACATTAGATTAAATCTGCATGGACTGGGGCGCCTGGGTGGCTCAGTCGGTTAAGCGGCTGCCTTCAGCTCAGGTCATGAGTCTTGGGATTGGAGTCCCGTATCCTGCTCTCTGCTCAGCAGGGAACCTGCTTCTCCCTCTCCCTCTGCCACTCCCCCTGCTTGTGCTCTCTCACTCCCTCAAATAAAATCTTTTTTTAAAAAAATTAAAAATCTGCATGGACTTCTCAGGGGCAAGTGTGAAATGAGTATTTTGTGATTCAGGCAAAATATCCCTAATTCTAAGAAATTTTTCCAGTAGGTCCTATTGTATGATCCCAGAGATCATTGAAGGATCAACCCATAGCTTGAACGTGTGTGGTTTTTCTGGACATCAGGGGAGTGGAATCATAATAATTTGCTAAGAATCATAATTGCCCATTGTACTTTATTCAAACTTGCTTTATTTTTAAGATCTTTTCTTATGTGAAAATTGCATATAGTCCTTGCGTCTGAAGTTAACTGAAGAGCAGAGAAAGAAGAACCCTTATGTATATTCCCAGTGCTTAAAGACAACTATTTTAATGCTGTGTACATCCCCCCAAATGCTTTTATTCATTTCATAATTTAGTTCATACTGTCGATGAAATTTCATATCCAGGTTTCAGAGTTTAACTTTTTAAGCCCTAATATTTTTCTCACCCTATTAAAATTATGAAGATAAGCACCTTTTAGAGCACAGCATCATGTGAAGACACTGAGCTAAGTGACCATTCCCTGGTGTTTGGATTACTCCTCTGCTCTTGGCTCATGGCTTGTTTGTAGTTTGTCGTCCTGTCCTATTTGGAGCTACATGATTATTTCTGCTGTGCTCTGGGCATTGTCTCAGACCCTCCGGAGTCAAGGAAGCCAGTGAACCTGAGCTGAGTGGTTGTGTGTTTTTTTGAAATTAAACAGTTTTTATGAGGTGAAGGTACTTCCTGAGTTTTACACATCAAAGCCCAGCCTCCCACTCTGTACAGTACTTTGTGGTAAAACAATTCCAAATAGGTTTTTTCCGCCCCCCCCGTGTTTAGGCCACTAGCCAGACAGATCTGGAAAATTGGGTCACTGCCATACATTCAGCTTGCGCATCCCTTTTTGCAAAGAAGCATGGGAAAGAGGACACGGTTCGGCTCCTGAAGAACCAGACCAAGAACCTCGTTCAGAAGATAGATATGGACAGCAAGATGAAAAAGATGGCAGAGTTACAGCTGTCCATCGTGAGTGACCCGAAGAATAGGAAGGCCATAGAAAACCAGGTACTACTTATTTGTGTGTTGTCTTTCATTGCTCATGTCACTTGCAGCAAAAATCTGAGTTTGAATGCAAATGGTTGCGATGGTTCTTATACCCCTCTGGGGAAGACCGTTTCTGTGGCTTCTTGTTTCAGGAACTTAATGGCAGCACTTTTATGACATTGATGATGTAATAGGCTTTATTTACAACCTTTGGTTGTTCTATATATCCAAAGGAATATTTTGTGACCAAGTCGTTTTTCGTGATATTGATTAGTTCCTTCTTGCCTGGCTGATTCTCTCCTATATTGTCCCTTTCAGACCAAAATTTTTATTATAAAACCACTAGAAGATTAGACAGAGAGGATTCTAATACAGAGGGTGGCTTTGGGAAGTACGGTTTGGTGTGAAACAACTATTCCCATCTGTGGATTCCAAAAAAAACGGTATATATTTTTTTCTGTTTATAACAGGTAAGGTGCTAAGGAGAATGCTTTCTCTGGTCTAGTTCCACATTCATATCAGAATTAAATACCTCGTTTCTGTGCTTTTGCATTTTGGAGGAGGAGACGCAGCTTTTAAATATCTGTTTTCCTTTGCTCATGCACCCTAAGCCCTTAGGCATGTGGCTGTGAAAGTTTTAGCATCTCTCTTCCTAAATGCAGGATGAATGTCATCTCTTTAGAAGATTAATCAGGCAGTGGCTTGGAGGACAGGTGGACACAGGGAGAGCCGTTAGTTGGTGGGATGGCACTGGTCTGCATGTGGGGTTACCAGGGCCTGGTGCAGAGGGACCCTACCCAAGTTTCACAATTTATACGGAAAATGTATTTCAGAGTATATAATTTCTATCATTCTGTAGAATCTCCGAGTATCCTACACTCCTGAATTGAACTGTTCTCAAACAGAATGTGCCCTTTATCTAAAGAGTACCTGCTAGCAAACTATGAACTACCAATTAACAAGGATCTGAGAAGGGAGTTGTCAGGCAGAAGGTGGGGAGGTGGCAGGTCTTGGGGAGTTTGGCAGGAACACCACTGTGGAGGAAGTGCAGCCCCCAGGAGCTCACCCTGCGTTCTCTCTGCCATCCCCCTACTCCTGACTGAGCAGCCTCCCCTGCTCATGTTGGGGAAGAGCTAGGTGCCGAGGCCGCCCCCATCACCCGGCCTTCGGTCTGTGTGGCGTGGAGAGATGTGATGCTATGTCAAGTTTACCTGGCAAACCAGAAAGCTTGCGGAGGAGAAATGGTTATCCCAGTTTTCCGTGTACCGCGGCTCATGTGTGGTCCTGAATTTCTAGGATCCAGGAGCCGTGATAGTCTGTCTATCCTCAGAGGGTGAAACTTGTGGATTCACATGTCTCAGAGTGTTCATGGTGCTCCAATAAAACAATCTCGGGGTGATCATATGGGAGGAAATGTAGTTTTAACTTCTATTGGCTCTCTAATATTTACCTTTGAAGCCATACTTTCGTCCTCTGAAGGGATGTCCACCTTGGAGTCTTTAGGTCCTTATTAGTTCCAGGGAGAGAAAAGGGAAATCAGGCAACATTCAGAGGCTCCTGGCCTGCCCTCCCACCTCTACCCCTTTTGCTTTCCTTTTCCTTTTTATGGCAACAGGAAGTTCAAGCAGACTTTAAAAAAATACACATTTTCATTAAATGTAATTTTATTCCGTTAAATGCAGTTTCATTAAGTGTATTTTATAGTTGACAGATGATTAATTAATGATGTCTGTGGGAGGGGAGTTCCTTTCACATAAACTGAACACATATCCAAGAGTCTCTGATGGTTGGATGGCCTGAAGGGAAGCTCTTTGAATTATTACTTGCAGCACATTATGCATTCTTTGTCAGAATCTTTACTTTAGTTATTTTAGGCATACTGTCCTGATACTACTGAAGTTTTCATTTCAGTTCTCCCTGCCTGACCCCTCCCTCCTTCCCTGGCTCCCCCTTGTCCCTTTGTACCCAGCTACCTTCTCATGTTGCGCTTGTACATTTCTGATAAGGAACAGTCGGGATTGATCTTTAGAAATTCCACCTGGGGACGCCTGGGTGGCTCAGTTGGTTAAGCAACTGCCTTTGGCTCAGGTCATGATCCTGGAGTCCCGGGATCGAGTCCCGCATCGGGCTCCCTG